AGAAAATTGCTAACTCGGGAATCAGAATAGCTGGAAACTGAAATTTTAAACTGATGCTCCTCATCCACGCACACCATAAATATTTCAAATTCAGCCCCCAGCTACGCGTGGTGCCCATTTTAGCGGGAAATTGCTAACTCAGAAACCAGGAAAGTTTGAAAGCTGAAATTTCAACGGAGCGTCCCCTGCCCAAGCACACCTGAATGATTTCAAACTCAGCTCTCAGATATGCGTGGTTCTCACGTACAGGCATTTAAAAGTTTTGGCGCGAAAATTACTGGCTAAGCAGCCAGTTAATTTTCAAAAAACCATTGGCGACGCGCACCAGACTGGCCCGTGCGATCATGCGTTTTTGTAATATTTCGCACTGTAGTGAGATCGCTCGGAAACCCAGTAGCTAGAAATGTGTGATATACTGATCCCCGAAGCCTTGGAATTTAATTGTCTATGCGGTAGTTGAACAGAGCACATTTCGCTGAAAAATTTCAGCTTTCCAAATTTTCTTCTTGGACTAGCAGTTTTCCTGCCAAAAATATTCAAAAGGCCATACATGACAATCACGCATGCCCGGGGGACTGAGTTTGATAAATTTAAGCCGTACATGGGTTGGGAACATTTCCTGAAAATTTCAGTTTCCGGGCTTTTCTGGCTCCCGAGTTATCCATTTCCGCGCCAAAAACTACGAGGTCGTACGTGACAATCACGTATGCCCGGAGGCTGAGTTTGACAAATCTAAGTCGTACACGGTTGGGGACATTCCCTGAAATTTTCAGCCTTCCAGCTTTCTTGGTCCATGAGTTAGCCATTTTCGCGCCAAAAAAATTCACGAGGCTTACGTGACAACCACGGTTGCCTGGAAGCTGATTTTTTCAAATTTATGTTGTACATGTGCTGTGAACATTCCTTGAAAATTTCAGCCTCTCAGATTTCCTAGTTCCTGAGTTGGCCATTTTCGCGCCAGAAATTCTCACGGGGCTGTACGTGAGTACCACAAACAGTTAGGGGCTGAATCTGGTTTTTTTAATTTGCACATGTGCCGGGAACATTCCCTAAAAATTTCAGCTGTCCAGCTTTCCTGATTCCCAAGTTAGCGACTTTCACGCCAGGAACCTTTACGAGGCCATACGCGGGAACCACGCATGCTTGGGGGTTGAATTTGAAATCTTTGAGTTCCATGGGGACGGGGGCAAAACCCTGAAATTTCAGCTTTCTAGCTTTTCTGGTTCCCGAGTTAACGATTTTCCCGCCAAAAACTTCACCCCCTCGTACGCAGGGCTCAGACTTGCGTGAGGTTTGATACCGCGGTTCTGGAGTGGCACATAGCCGGGGAACCCACCAGCAATATTTTGGCGCCGGAGCTTGCTTGTTGAAATATCCGGACAGACACACACACCGGGGTCGTCACAATATGCGTTTTTGTATTTGCATATAAGCAACCCAGGCTGGAACGCACCAGGCGGGCCCGTGCGATCATGCACTTTTTGCACCGGACTTGAATTACTCAGGTCATTAACTGTATGAATAGCTGTTGCTTTACACCTACTTTTTGCGGTCACCAGTACAAATCACCACAAATTTTGCAAAGTAAATGTATAAGTTGCATTTAACTAACAGTCGTTCTTTAAAAGTAACCTAGTTGTTCAGTGAGAAATTTTTGCGTCAAGACTTTCAAGC